AAAAAAATTATTTTAATTAGATAGAWATAAATAATATTATACAAWAAATTTTATACATACAATTTATATATTTAAAAAAAAAATAAATGATAAAATAAAATTCATAATTTAATTTTTATAATGTATTTTCATTTAATATTTTACTAATTTATTATATTAATAGTATTAATTTTWAWAAAWAACTTATATTGATTAAATTTGCAAATTTATTTTCATTTATTTTATTATTATATTATATTTTCATAATAAATATTTTTGTTGTTATTGTTTTATAARTACTGTATATTTTATATATATATATAAAGGCAAACTAAAAGCCATAAAATAGCAATTGTTTTAATACAACAACAACAAAAATTTTAGTTAAATTTATATTATATATATATATACGTAAAATTCAATTCAATGACAATATTTTCCATGAAATAAAATATTTTAGTATTTTTATGATRAAATTTAWTTTRTTGTTAATTCAATTATTTTAATTGTTTTTTTTAAATGTTATTATAATCTAATATTTWACTTTMWTTCTGTTCAATAAGTGGACATAATTTAGTTATAATAACAAAAAATAAAATATATTAAATTTATTATATAAATAGAAATWRTATTTTATTATTGTCCTAAATATCCTCTCATTTAGTCTGTAATAATATTTAATATAATTTATCCATACATTACAACAGTTTATCTATAAAATAATAATAATAATAGTGTCTTTCAATACACTATTAATACACTAATAATATTAATAATAWTWTTTTTATGGAAACAAAATTAATAGTTGGGAAGGAAAAGGATGACTAACTGACTGGTTGTCCTTCAATTTGCCGGTACTGTATGTCATACATAATTGCTATGTAATATACTGTACATTATAATGCTTACACATACACACACACATATATACACACACATATATATATACATACAAGTACATACATAAATACATACATAAATACATACATACATATATATATATACATATATACAGTATATATACACACACATACATACATACACACACACATATATATATACACAAATACACACACACACACACACACACACACACATAATAATAATACATACATACATATATATACACACACATATATATATATATATATATATATATATATATATTTATGGCCAAAAAACAAAATTAAATATGGTTAATTTGGGGTTGTTGAGTGGGTGATGGCTAGATGATGGCCAGTAGGGATGACTAGAAATCTGACTGACTGGTGTGTCCTTCAATAAGAGGTTATCACTATAATCCTCTTATAAAGATAATACATAATTGCTATGGTCACTGATACTGTACAATTTTTTTGATTGAAAAACAGTTTAATTCACACACAAACATGTTGACGTATCATACCAACATACACACACCACAAACAAACAAACACACACACACACATGATCTGTCACTTGACATACACAATAAACTTCGAAACCCAGAAGAATATGGGCTGAAGATATATACACACACAGCCGTCGCCACATATAAACTTGCCATCACCTCCATATATATATATATATATATACACACCTCCATAACATGATAAAAATAGTGGCGTCATCGGACGAGAAAAAGTTTACATATATACACCGTTACATACATACAGTTATGGTTTGGGCCGGATTTGGACACACACATCAAGACATACATATATACACACACAAGGACGTGCTCCCATCCACACCTCGTACAGCACGGTAGCATACATGAGGTGGTCGTGATACACACATACACACACAGAATATGGTCACAAATGGCCGACAGTTACACACACACACACAGCACACACACACACACACATGCCCCGAAGGATGGCGGAGACTACACACATACACACACATATTACATTGTCAATTAAATACTATAAAAACACACACACACACACACACACACACACATAAATTTGTTTTATTTATTTATTTAATAATTTAAAAAATTAATTAAAAATTTTAATTGTAAATTACATATATATACACACACATATATATATATATATATATATATACATATATACATATATACACACACACATACATACATACACACATACACACACATACACACACATACACACACACATACACACACACACACACACACACACACACACATACACATACATACACACTAAACAAACAACTCAATTCTTGGCTCATGTATATCATGTAATGCCATATATAAATATTCTCAACACTGGAATCTATTTTTATTTGCGAAGCCATACATACATACAGTACATATTAATACATACATAAGCTATGGGTAGTAAAAAGYCAAACATATTTAAAGACCAGTAGATCCCACTTTATGACTTGCACTCWCACAAACAGCAACTTATTTGTGGTAATATTTTTTTTATAAAAAATGTAATATTCATCAGTGTATGTGTGGTGTGTGTGTATGTGTRTATGTGTGTGTRTGTATGTGTGTGTGTGTGTGTGTGTGTRTGTGTGTGTGTGTGWGTGTRTCAATGCCTATGTATACGTGTGAAAGTTRTAAAAGAGAGAGAGAGAGAGAGAGAGAGAGAGAGTATGTGTATATGTATTAGTTTTACAATTTAGTTGTTATAATAAATATTTATATAATAATTTTTTTTTTAAATAAAATGTTTAATTAATATTTGTCTCAACAAATCTAAAAATAAATATTAAATCGACTTTATTTGTGTGCAATTATTATTATTATTATTATTATTATTATTATTATTATTATTAACAGTAATTGTTTGGTCATCATTTACTATACAAAATAATATACAAAATTATTATTTAGTTTTTTTTAATTTAATAATTGCGTTGTGATTATTATTATCAATAAAAATTGTAACATTTTTATAACCCAATGTAAGTACAGTTTTATTTATATATTGTATTTATATATATATATATATATATATATATATATATATATATTGAATATACTTTAACATAATGTAAACAAAATATTTGTTATTTTTTTGGGTAAAAATGTCGTTTTTATATATAAAAAGTTACTATATTTTTATATAATTAAATATATATATATATATATATTGAAATATTGTTGAAAAATTTTTAAGTCAAAAACTAAATCGTAGTTTATATTATTTTTTTTTTAATAATAAATTTTTATTAACAAGTTTAGAAATTATCAAGGTCAAAAATAAAATATGATAACATTATCGAAAAGAAAATAATTTTAATAAAATGATATCTTATTTAACATAAAAAATAAAATTGTTAGACAATTGGATCACAAAATTTTTAAAATATATAATATCACGATATCATCCAAAAAAAATATATAATATATTAATTTTATTTTTTAATAAAATAAATTTAAATTAAACACTTGAAAACCTTGAATGTCTAATATTACTGAAACTTTTTAAAAATTAAAACACAAATATTATTATTATTATTAATGTTAAGTTTCAGGTGTGTTCACTTTATTATTAAAATTTATATACATTATTGTATTATAACTATATCTATATAACATTAATACAAAAAAGATAATTTATTATATAAATTATATATATAAAAAATTATTACTATTGTATATACTATGTATGATGATATACATACTATATATGTATATTGTAATAATATACAGGTAATCAAATCCTCTAAAATAAATGTAATGATAAAAAAACTATATATTTGCTTAAATATTACAATAATAAAAAAACATATTTTTTTAGTTAGATTTTCAAATCAATTTTCTTATGAATTATTGAATACATAAATACAATAATATTTATTACTTTTTTTTGTGTTTTTGTGTGTCAATTAAACATTAGTTTTATTTGATAAAAGTATACATTGTATCAATTGTTATATATATATTRTATATATGATATAACTTATGATGAAAATTTGATGGCTTATATGATTAATGTACAATAAATTGYATATTTTCTATGAATATATGATAATATATATATATATAAATTTAAGACTTTTGACATTTTAGAAAAATATTTTTTTATTGATGRAAACAAATAAAATAAAACCTATTTTTAATATATTTAAAAGCCAGAAAAAAAAGTAAAAAATAATATTAAAATAATATTTTTTATTATTAGTATTAAAACTATGAATTTTTTCCATTAGAATATAATAATAAAATAATTAAAAAAACATATATATAAAACATCAAATTATTATTTTTTAATAATTTTGTAAATATAATTCAATAGTTAATAATTAGATTTAAAAAAACATAAAATATATCAATTGTTATTATCAAAGAATAAACGTTTAATTTAAAAAAAGATAATAATTATATAAATATATTTTAATTAAAAACAAAATTATAATTTTATATCACATATTTTTTAAATTGTTAAAGTCCAATATTTTTTTTAACTAATAATAATAATTATTATTATTATAAACATATAATTTTTTTATCAATATAAATTTATCAWCTAATAATATCAAATCACTTTTAATTAAATATATATAAATATATATATAAATAATTAAATAATTWRTRACTTTAAAAAATATGTTTCGTAATTAAATTAATAGAAATAAAACATTAATTAAAATATTTTATTTACTAATTTTTATTTAAATTTAYAAACATTTATAAAAATTTAGAGGCAATTAATTAAAAAATTAAAACCTCTATTTTGTTTAATATTTTTTTTATTATACAATTGTTTACCATTTAAATAAATATATAACACAATTAAAAAAATTTATACAATAATATAGTTTTGTGAAGTTATWGCTAGAATAATGAATACAAAAATGTATTATAAATAAAATATTGATTTTAATTTAATTATAAACATAAATGTATTCATAGCAACATTTAATAAATTTTTTTTTGAAAAAAATTTATAAACAATGATRAWTAAAATTTTTATAATGTTAAAAAATTTATAAACTTACATTGCATACACACAAATAATTATGCTTAAAATTAAACTAAGTAGATTTTATACTAGCTAAATTTTATTTTTAAATAAAATACATTATACTTTTACATTTATATATATATATATATATATATATATATATATCATAATATAAATGTCATTTAATTTTATGCTTATATAAATAATATTATTATTATTATCAAATGTTTTTATTTTAATGACAAATAAAAACTCAATCGATAAAATTTGTCCTTAATTATAATATTTAAATATATATATATATATATAATACATAAATATATAAATACAGTATATATATATATATATATACGATACATGTATACGGTTTATAATGTAAATAATAAAATAAAATAWAATAATTTCAGGGTTATGACAATGCAATTAAATTAAATTTTTAAAAAAACWATWTWAAAAWAATTCGTGTTTATTTAAGTATTAATAAAATTAATAAATTATTTTTAAAATTATTTATAACTATATAGTAAATAATARTAATAAAAAATAATAATAATAATTTAAATATAAAAWTTTTTTTATATATTTTACTATTATATACTAGTTTTTTTTCATCTATAAATTGATTTCATCAATAATTAATATTTTCTACACACACAAAAAAACGTATGTATATTTATATGTGTAATTAAATATTTTCAATTTAATTAACTAATTATTAAAAATTAAAAAAAATAATTATTGATTTTATAATTATAATAAMAMAAAACAGTATATTACGGAAATCATAAATTTTTTTTTTGAAAAATTCATAATAAAAAACAAAAAATATGAAATCATTGCACCCGTTGTTGTTGGCGGCGGCTATTGTCAGCTTCGGTGGATCTCTGGTCTGGACGGCTAACGTTCCCATTAAAGCACAATTACAAGCCGGTATACACACAGTGTATTAATTCATATAATGTTTATATATATATATATAAATTAATTATTATAATAATCATAATTTTTTTCTGTCAGATCCTAATTGTACTGTTCATAAGGATTGTGAGTCATGTGTTGGAGAAACTGGTTGTGCTTTTTACTATTGCGGTGACAAAGTCAAAGGTCAGTAAGATKTGTGTGTGTATGTATGTATATATATGTGTGTGTATATATGTATGTATATATGTGTGTGTATATATGTATGTATATATGTGTGTGTATATGTGTGTGTATATGTGTATGTACTGTATATATGTGTGTGTATGTGTGTGTGTATGTGTGTGTGTTTGTATGTATGTTTGTGTATATGTGTGTGTATATATGTATGTATGTGTGTGTGTATATATATGTGTGTGTATGTGTGTGTGTATGTGTGTGTGTTTGTATGTATGTTTGTGTATATGTGTGTGTATATATACAGTATATGTATGTGTGTGTGTATATATATGTATGTTTGTGTATGTGTGTGTGTATGTGTGTGTGTTTGTATGTATGTTTGTGTATATGTGTGTGTATATATACAGTATATGTATGTGTGTGTGTATATATATGTATGTTTGTGTATGTGTGTGTATCTGTGTGTGTGTTTGTATGTATGTTTGTGTATATRTGTGTRTGTTTGTGTATGTGTGTGTATCTGTGTGTGTGTTTGTATGTATGTTTGTGTATATGTGTGTGTGTATATATACAGTATATGTATGTGTGTGTGTATTTACGTATGTATGGAAAAAAGTATTGATATACTGTACATTAGATATTATATTTTTTTATATACCTGTCCCCCAACAGAATCGTCTAATCAAACAATTTGCGAGACAGCACATGATCCCAAACCAAAGACCAGGTGTACGGCTGGCAAATGGATTAGATTGGATAACAGTGCCAGTTGTGAGCAAAAAAAAAACATTTTTAAAAAAATATATAAATATSTAATTAATATACCGGTACTTATATATTTAGGTGCACCTGTATGGACAACAACAACAACAACCACCACTCCTACCACTACTACTACAACGACAACAACAACAACTACTACACCCAAACCTACTACTACTACTACTATCAGCACAACAACAACAACCACAACAACACCAAAGCCGGACACACTACTACTACCCCCAAACCGTCGACCACTACAACATCAGTACCTATGACTACAACAAGTAATACCATTTTGAAAATGTTTTTTTATTTTTAATTTTTTTTCAAAATACACTAAAATCTATTGATTGGTTACCAGACAAACCAGAACCGGCACCTCAACCAACAACACAGGGACCCGATSATCATCATCATCCAGACACCGATAGTTCAAAGTTGAGCGCCGGTACTATTGCTGGTATAGTACTATCCAGTCTGGTAGTGGTCGCACTGTTAGGTTTTGTATCCTATAAGAAGATAATGAAGATATATAGGGCTCGTAATCCTTATCGTACTCTCGATGARTGAAAACAATAGTTTTTTTTCTTCAATAWTTGAAAGTTTTTTTTTCACTAATTTTTTTTTTGAGAGCTTTAAGTTTTGARTTTTATTTTGATTTGATTTTTTTTTGTGGATCTCTATAATAATAATAATATAATAAATTAATTATAATATATTGATATAATATATGTTTGATGGGGGAGGGGGAGGAGTTATGTTTTTTTGATAAAAAAATAATTACTAATTGTAATATTTCTTAATTATATATTATATATGTTGTTAAACATAATATATATATATTTATAAATAGTWTAATATAATCATATGTTTTGCCATTTCAGTGAGATTTATATAATATAAGTTTACATAAATAAAAAAATAACTGACAGTTTTTTATATACAATTTTTTTTGKTGGTTATTATTATTATTACAGATAATTATGTGAAATTATATTATCAATTAATAATGATTTTTGTTTTGTATGATTTAATTATGACTTAATTGTTTTTAAAAAATTAAATATCAATAGATCTAATAAGTTATAGTTAAAAAGTTAATATTTTTAATAAATGTAAAATATATAAAAAATATAAATAAAATATTTTCAACAAAAAAGATATTTTATATTTTATAATAATATACTACTKTAGTATAACATTTAAATACATTATGAAAATTATTTCAAAAATAAATGCTTATATATTTTAAATGTATATATTATWTATTATTATTATARATATTATTTAAGCTAAACAATAATTTTTTAAAAATATATCAAAATAGTTGTATAAAATATATTAATATTTTTTTTTAAAAAAATACAATAAACTAACTGTTTATTTCRTAGCATTTAATTCAACCAAAATTTTTTTATTTATTTATTTGATAACAAATATTATTATTATTATTATTCATTGATCTGTTGTAACATCAAGTCTTGTTGCGGATCAATACTCACGAGTAGGAAGAGTATGATACTCAAGATGAAGGCCATTAGCAGCCATTTGGATATATTGGACTTATCGCTGGGCCGACGGGTCGGATGAGGAGTAGTAGTACTGTTGTTTGTACTACTACTGGTGCTCGACTCTACTGTAATTGATGTGGAACTGGAGTTATCCATCGTTGTTGTTGTTGTTGTTGTATCATTGATCTCATCGACGGCACCAACAGTGGTAACATTGACGGGAACTGTTGTCTGGTTGGCCGCCGCACCACCACYAGTGGTAACATTGATGGGAACAGTTGTCTGGTTGGCCACACCAGTGGTTACATTGATCGGAACAGTTGTCTGGTTGGCCGCACCACCAGTGGTTAGACTAATCGGAACAGTTGTCTTGTTGGCCGCACCACCACCACCAGTGGTAACATTGATGGGAACAGTAGTATAATTAATGGTTTGTCCATYAATGTTGATAATCAATTGAATTTTCAAAACTAAGACAAAAATTTTAGTCCAATAAATCATATTTTTTCAGTTGTTRTTATTAAATATATTTTGAAAAATTARATATTTTATACCATTATTTTTKTTTTATTTAATTATAGATAATTTTTAAATATTATATAGTATTTAAAATTATTAAACAATAGGAATATCTCGCGRCMCCGGGATATAAATAATAATAATAATAATTAATATTATAAAAAAATACGACTAATAAATATTAGTCAGATCCTCAACAAACAAAAAATTTAGTTTTAGGTTTAAGCCATAGTTTAGGTGGTTTAGGCTATAGTTTAGTTGGTTTAGACCATAGTTTAGTTAGTTTATGGCATAGTTTAGTTGATTTAAGCCATAGTTTAGGTGGTTTAGGCCATAGTTTAGTTAGCTTAGGGCATATTTTAGTTAGTTTAGGGCATAGTTTAGTTAGTTTAGGGCATAGTTTAGTTAGTTTAGGGCATAGTTTAGGTGATTTAGGCCATAGTTTAGGTGGTTTAGGSCATAGTTTAGGTAGTTTAGGCCATAGTTGRTAACTAATAAAAAAAAATGTTTRCCATGTGATACATTGTTCAATCAACTTAAAYTGMTTAATTTATTTATCTAGATAATTTATATATATATAYATATAAAAATTTATCTATAGTTATGTATAATATATTATTTGTTTTWCCTATAAGTTTACAATATTAACAATTTACTATAAAATAGGGTTAATATTTGATTTGATTATTGATGAGTTGTTATACTATTGATATATATTGAATAGTATTGACATTAAATATATTTTAAWATTATGATAAATAAAAAATGTTATTATTATTATTATTAATATCCAATTAAAACAAATTAATAAATTTCRTCATATGATATATATATACTTGAAATAAATTAATTGTTTTTTATTATTATAAAATAATCACCTGTCTAATAACTTTTTAAAATATTAAGATAAAAAAATTATCAATATGTGTGTGTGTGTGGGGTCATATTATTTATATATGCCTAATCAGTTTAATACAATGTTATTTAATAATAATATTATAATTATAYWCTGGATAAAATTACTTGGAAAACTTGCAATAATTTAATAATAATAGTTAATTAGCAATCAATTAATTTGTTACATTATTTATATATATATATATATATATATATTATCAATAGATAATAGATAAGTAATTGAACTTTACTAAATAACAAATGTACTTGAACATTTAAAAAAAATAAATTATAAATATAAATACTAGTTATTTTTTTAAWAATAATTAATATTAGCATTTAAATTATTATTATTACTATTTTTTCCACTAATATTATAATATTGTTTTCTAAATTAAAATTTTGAWTTATTTTATTTACTGTATATTAAATTTTTTATTAGTTATGCTAACAAATARTAATTTAATACATTTATTATTATTATTATTAATAAATTTGTTTATCACTATATGTAKTGTCAAWTGTGAACATAATAATAATAGCCAAATAATATTAACTGATCGACCAGTTATTGGTATAGTTGCCCAATACGGCGGTAGCGGTGAATATATAGCGGCCAGTAATGTTAAATGGTTGGAAAGTGCCGGTGCTCGAGTGGTATGACTAACTAAATAATAATACTATTATTAATTTRATTAATAAATAAAAAATTATTTSAAGATACCTGTGCTGTCCGGTAAAGATAAGGCCTATTATGAGAAAATCTGGCAAATGACTAACGGACTACTAGTGCCGGGAACTGGTAATACCTATGACCAACARTTRTTKTCTACATATGGCGAATATAATATCTACGATATYGCTGTCAAAAATAAGGATCGTTATTATCCGATATTTGCTACCTGTGCCGGCATGTATAGGKTGGCCAGTATGGTAGCWCAGGGAGCTTATACTACTAGTTGTTCGGGTACTGATAATGTGGTGTTGAAGTTGAACTTCAAGGATGGTTACCAAACAAGTCGTGTRTTCAAAAATGCYGAYAAAMAGATAATTGATGTAAAAAATTTTTTTTACTYTTTAAAAATAATATATATATATATATATATATATAATTTTATAGAATTAATATAAAAATATATAAATAATTTTATAAATTMATATAAAAATATAAATAGTTTTATAAATTAATATAAAAATATTAAATAATTTTATSAATTAATATAAAAATATTWAATAATTTTATCAATTAATATAAAAATATTAAATAATTTTATAGAATTAATATAAAAATATWAAATAATTTTATAAATTAATATAAAAATATTAAATAATTTTATAAATTGATATAAAAATATAAATAGTTTTATGAATTAATATATAAATATTAAATAATTTTATCAATTAATATAAAAATATATAAATAATTTTGTTTTGTTTTAGATATTATCGACAAAAAACGTTACGTTTAATACACATTATAATTGTTTGGCCGCCTCAACAATGACCAGTCCATCGGTGGCCAAACATTTTCGGGTAATGACCACAAACTATGACTCCRRYGGCAAAGAGTTTGTATCGACYATTGAATCACTGGAAGRTGAAGTACCTGTCTATGCGGTTCAATGGCATCCGGAAAAAAATCCGTATGAGTTCCCCARTAAAGGCCATAAYAATCGTATACCTCATACCACGGATGCCATCAAAGTTAGCCAATATATGGCCGACTTTTTTGTTGATGAATGYCGTCGAAGTAAACCATTGGTGGAGGACGAGGATGTTATTAAGCCAAACCTAATTTATAACTACAGTCCCAGTTATCAGGGTAAACGTGATGTCTATGATTTTGAGCAAATTTATGTTTTTTAGATTTTTATATTAAAAAACAAATATTAGTRAAAAATAAACTGTAATTTTTTTTAATGTAAAATAATATGTTGTATACAAATTTAAAATAAAATTAATTATTAAATATAAAATTATTTATTTTTAAATATGTAATAATTAATAAAATTATATATATATATCTATATATGTAAATGTAAATTTATATTATAATTTTAATTAAAACAATTAATAGTTTTGATATTTAAAAAAAATGTTTAAATATTGCTAATATATTAATAAAATAAATAATAAATAAATTATTAATTGTAATAATTATTAATGTCAATAATAATAATAATAAAAAAGATAATATACATTAAWTATATKATGATTTTTATCTTTACTGATTAAACATAATAATTAATTAAAAAAACGATTATATTATGTTATTATTTTTAAATCATAAAACAATTTATAACAATTTTTAACAATTGATTTCTACTGTAGTAATTGATAAATGTCTAATCAATAAAAAAWAAAAAAAAATAAAATTTATCTCTAAAAATAAAATTACTTATAAATTTACTTTCTATTACTTATTATAACAGTACATATTGTACTGTAAAAAAWTWAATTWAATATTAATTTATAWAAATTATTGCACCAGTGTATTGTAAYTTAAAAACTATTTCAAAAAAAWAAAATRATTATTAATATAAATGATAAGTATATTTTAWGATTATATATATATATATAATAAATTAAAAACATTATTACCATTTAATTATTTTTTATATAACTTTATATTAGATTATTATTTTTAAAATAGTGTATTTAAATTGTTAGTAATAATGACTAATAATAGTAATWWWTTATTATTAGTATTATTAATAATATCTTTAACTATAWTWGTTAAAYATATCKATAGTGARATATTAACTGATAGACCAATTATCGGTGTTATTGCTCAGCCGGGTGGCGGTAGTGGCCAGCAGTATATAGCGGCCAGTAATGTTAAATGGCTAGAGAGTGCCGGTGCCCGAGTGGTATGTATTATAAATTTACTTTAAATTTTTTTTTCTAAAATTTATCCGTAAATAAAGTTTTTAAAATAAAGTGCATACTAAAACATATTGTTTTTAAAAAAMATATATAATTTAGATACCAGTGCTCKCTGAACAAAACGCTAGCTATTATGATCAAATATGGCAAATAACTAACGGCCTACTAGTACCGGGTGMTGGATCTACATATCCATCAGCAAATGCAAATCAATACCGTTTTGGCGATTATTATATCTATAATATTGCTGCCAAAAATAAGGATAGAAGACACTATCCGATTTTTGCTACCTGTGCCGGTATGTACCGATTGATTGACTTGTTGGCTCCCGGTCTGRTAGACAAAGATGWTTGTCCCGGTGCTGAAAACCAGGCCTTTAAGTTGGACTTTAGGAAWGATTATGAAACGAGTCGTTTGTTTAAAAATGCCGACAAAAASATTACTAATGTATATAAAAAAAAATTAATTTATAATWTTTATATAAAACATATTMACACACAAAAAAATAATTAGTTATMAATATTTATATTTATTTTTTTTTTAATTTAARTTAATATTTATTTAATTTTKTAAAAATTTAAATTAATATTTATTTTTTTTTTWWATTTTAATTAATATTTATTTTWATTYTTTGTAATTTAAATTAATATTTATTTTTTTTTTTTTTAWTTTACGTTAATRTTTATTTTTTATTTTTTGTAATTTAAATTAATATTTAGTTATAATTTTTTTTTAATTTAAATTAAAATATTTATAATTTTGTTTTTGGTTTTAGATACTATCGACTAAAAACGTTACGTTCAATACACACTACTATTGTTATCGGGCCTCAAATTTGGACAGTCCAGCGGTGGCCAAACATATACGGGTAATATCGACAAACCGTGACTCCAATGACCGGGAATTTGTAACCACATTAGAGTCAACAGCAGGTGAAGTACCTGTCTATGCGGTTCAATGGCATCCGGAAAAAAATCCGTATGAGTTCCCCAGTAAAGGCCATAATAATCGTATACCTCATACCACGGATGCCGTCAAAGTTAGCCAATATATGGCCGACTTTTTTGTTGGTGAGTGCCGTCAAAATAAATTGCTTATAGAGGACGAGGATGTTATTAAACCAAATCTAATTTATAACTACAGTCCCCGATATGAGGGCAAACACGATGTCTATGATTTTGAGCAAATTTATGTTTTTTAGATAATAATAAAAAAAATTATTAGTGAAAAAACAAATATTAATTTTTTTTTAAATGTAAAATAATATAATTAATTATATGTAGATTTTTTTAGCAAATTTATGTTTTTTAAAAATAATTGACAACAAAAATATTCTTATTATTATGTTTGTCAATGTAATAAAAAAAATTTATTGATTATTAATTATTAGTATTTTATATATTTTTAGTTAATTATATAACTGTTAAATTATAATAGTATAATATTTTTATTAGTATTATATATATCAATATAAATATATATATATATATATCTTTAATTAATTATATAACTATTAAATAATAAGATTATAATATAATATTTTTATCTTATTGTTTATAGTGTACAATATTTTAGGTGTGAGTTTAAGATTTAATAAATTGTTTAAAAAATTATATTAACTTAATTATTATGATTTTGTTAGTTTTTAAAAAATTGCTTAATTTATAAATAATTTTCGTTTTAATAACATAAAACCAAATAAATCATTTTAGATTTAATAAATAAAAAATAAATTAAATTGTAAATATATCATAACTGTTCAAATAATTATTTTAGTTATTACGATAATAACTAAAATCTATAATTTATTATATAATATCAAATATAAATATACAGTGTATATAAATATATATAAAATATATATATAATCCAAAAGTTACAGTATATTAATCAACAACAACAACAAAATTATTTTAATAAATAAATATAATTTATTATTAAATAATTTATTATTAATAGATGATATAAAAATCCCATTATAACTATCGCCAATAATTTTAATGTTATTTTTTTGGTTATTGTATAATATTATATAAAAACAAATAACATAACAACACTGTATATAAATTAGTTATTATTAATTRTATTATATATATATACACACACAATAAAAACAATAAAAACAACAGTTAATTAGTTGTATAATATATATACATAAATTATAACTGTTAATTGATTTAATCAAAAAATAATAATAAATGCCATCAAAATAGAAAACCCAATTTATATTCAACTAATTATTTAATCTTGATAACTTTTTTAAAAAAATATATATAATAATATAAAAATATAACATTATAATTGATAATTTTAAAAAAATGTAATTTATAAACTAATAAATTAGATTAAGTATAAATTATTTAAATAAATAATATTATAAATTAAGTAATAAATTAATAGATGAATAATAATTTATAGTAGTGTATATATATATATATATATATATT